ATAACACAAATATATAATAACGACATCAATGATAGTAATAATTCTATTACAATTAATGAAATTCAATAATAATCTTTGTAGTAATGACAGTGCTAGCTCTAATACTTCAGAGCACGACACTGTGTCGACTTCCTCTTCTCCAAAGGCAGGCACCGCCCACCGTGACCTGACTGCGCCGTCCACCGAAGACACAATTCGGTTTTCCAAAAAAACTTCACTCACAACACTCGCGCGCGAGTCGAATGTCTGCCTTCTACTCACTGGCTGACTATTCGGCAACGAAGGACCATGTACAAATTCAAAGCGGTTGTATTTTGGGTCCGTGAGGTTAATTGAAATAATCAAGGTTCACGTTGCAAGTTTTTTAATCAACAATTTTTGCGGACCCTAATACTAATTACAACGGTCAAACCATAGTGTGTTTTAATTTACTACTAACGCCACCTATGTATTACAAATAAGAAACTAAATATTATACAAAGCTAAAAATGAAATAATTGTAGAATTTGTATTTATGTCTATGATAATAAAAGCCTTTTATTTAACTTTATCTAATTTAACTTTATTTAACCAATTTCTGTAAAGTTGCATATAACGTCATAAAAAAGTTTCACTTCTTACGAATATACGCTAGTACACGCACACATTTTTTTTACTTCTTTTTTTGCTGTAGGAAATGAGACAAAAATATTTAATTAAGATTTAATCGAAGATGAGATATAATATTAATATTTTCGATTGGGGGTTTTTTTTAAATTAATGTAAAAATCATACGTCCCCGATTTGCGTCGGCAGTTTTGCGTCGGTATCAATAATTACTTAAATACCCACGGCCTTTTTGTCCGTTTAAAATTTAGAGTCGTATGATAAATAATATCTTTACCCTTTCGAGGGAGAAATTCACCAGTAATATTAAGGTCCTAAGGCCAACATTTTGTATATTGCGATAAAATATATATATCAGAAAAATATTCCAAAATAATTGATCAGAGCTGACCATACATTTAAAACATGTTTCATTAAAATGATACGGAATTTGTTAATGCGACTAAGCATGCAAATTAAAAAACCGTATTATTCAAAGAAGTAATTAATGCACCAAATTAGAAAGGAAGCCTCTTAACCATATAAAAGCTATTGAAATAAAGCAATGTAGTAAATAAAGTAGTAATGTCCAAAAATTTAATGTTTTTTTTTTAATAAAAATGGAAATTAAAATGCTGGTAATTACGCTAATTACTTCTAAAATATTGTTTTATATACTGCAATGGAAAAGGTAGTTACGTAAATTAATACACATTTTCATGTTCATTAATTAACATGGTATATGTAATAAGCTTCAGAATTTTAGTCTTAAGTACACGTGTACTGTTTGAGTCCTCCTTTTTCGAGAAAATGAAATGCACAAAAAATTCAACATAAGTAGTTTTATAAATTTAGTCATTGTTCTTACATTGAATGGACAAAGGCTTCATGCCTTAAGAATTCTTTTGCGATCTAGATCTAGTTTTAAGTAAAAAAAAATAATCAGGAATATAAATATACCGCTTTTTACTATTCCTGTTGTAAACATCTTTGAGAAATAATAGGAAAAAATTTACATACTTGATATCGTACGTAATATCAAGGCTGTATCTATTTTATCTCCCCTAAAGGGCGATTAAGATAATACGTATTTTTAAAATGTAGAATATACAACGATGTTCATTGATAGCAAGTATCCTTCATAAGAGGTTATGTTCGATAGTCGACCAAACAGGAATAAAAACAATAAAAATATGTGTGTGTTTGTATGCACGTAAGAAATTATACTTCTTTAGCATAACAAAGGGAAAAATAACTAAAAATTTTAACTCCTGTGCCAGTACTCTTTGTTTGTGAAAAAGACATTAAATGAAATTGATAACGATTGCATTAAATAACTAGGAATCACGGGTACATGTCAAGTTGTTATTGGTTGCCATGGTAATACCGTAAAGTTTGTCGCTTGTGCAACTAACTTCATCATGTCGCTGTATTGGCTGCCGGTGTGCGCGCGAATCGTAAACATTTTACCCTCATAGTTTTTTCCAAACGCGCCAAAAGAAATATAATTTCAAGAAAAACCCAAAGACAATTTATTAGGACAGCGTAAAAAGTTTTTCCTGGTTTGAATCAGACTGTAATCCTAGAATAGAGTAAACAACTGTTACTCCTGCATAAAGAGGACCTTCGTCTTATGGTCAAATTAGACTGAGAGTACATGACAAAGCTTCTAGATGCTGAATTCGATTTATAACTCTAAAATATGCAGACCAAAAAATATGGACTTCGAGTATATACAGCGTGTCGTTACCACCGCGACAATAAATGTACAAATGTCTAACGCTACTTGCCAATAATCATAAAAAATTTTATCTTTAAAAAAAAATCCATAATTGAAAAAAAAAATTTCAAACAAACTAATTAAGTAAAAAAGTAACAAAATTTGTAACATCCTATACAACTACAACTGACTGATTCATACATTCAGAGACTTTTTTTTCATTCTTTGCCACAGCGCCGCATTACAAGCCTCTCCTTCTAACAGTATGTTTTGTCTCTTTTAAATTCATTCAACCCATTCATAGGCTTTGTGACCTTTACAAATGAACTTTACGTTACAGTTTTATACGTAAGGCTGTTCTAAAATTCTTTGTTTTGGAAAATTTAATAACTCGGTAAATATTGATGTTTAAACAATGTAAATATTTAATACAATTTTAAAAAGTTATCCTCTATATGTGTGTTCATTTATTGTCGCGATGGTAAAGACACGCTGTATATAACTTATCTTGAATTTAACGGCCATAATAAATTATTTTAATGGATTTGCTGTAGTCTTTTCAGGTAGTTTTAATAATTAATTATATACACGTATGCTGATTTCTGTTAAATTAATTATAAACTAAAATATGCCAATGTTTTCCAAGCATACATATCAAACTGAATTACTTACCACGTCGGAGTAAAAAAAAAGTTCAATTATAGTATTGAAAATTTAAATTATTTTGTTATTTCATTCAATAAAATCCGTTTTAATCTTCGTGCAAACTGTTGCTTTAATTAAGCGCTCTACACTGTGCGATGCGTGTGTAAACAACGATGGAACAAACTAAGGACTCGTCCCCACACAAATTTACATACTTGAAACTGCTGGGAACATCGTGTGACATTGACATTTTTAACTATAACAATATACAAGATAGGAAAAAAAAACAATCGCTGACGTCGACATTTACCGATTAATTCCGATAAAATTACTGTAAGTGTCCAAGTATACGTAAGTACGTGTTTACATAAATTTACATTTTATCACTAATAATAAAAAAGTCTGTCGGTACTTGTTGCACTGGTCACATAAATTCCCATATTATTGTCTTTAAGCTTGCCTTCGGAATGATTAACATCTTTAACATATCGTGAAGTTCATCGAACAAAGCAATGAGATTTGTTCATTTTATTTGTGCTTTAATTGCATTAAAGTATCAATCATGGATTGAACCGTATATACAGACATAAATAAAAAGTACCTGGAGGAGGATTTTTTTGGTAAATCGTGTATTTTGGAAATTAAAAAAATAAAGAAATCAATGATCTAGTACAGAAAAATGTAAAAAAAAATAAGTGTGTAAATGATCGTGATACGAACCGCGGCCGTCTGTTTTGGGGCCGCCCGATTACCGACCGAACTATTATAACGTTTTTTTTGCGGCGAAATTTACTGTCACATTCGAATGATATTTTTCATTCCCTGAAAACAGGGATAAAAAGACATTTTATAAAAATGAAACCTAGCTAGATCGATTTTTCGCCCCCGACATATTTTACTTTGATTAGTGAGGTTATTAAATTTTAATTCTTTTGGTAATAATATTTTATCTCTACGAGTTATCAATATTGTGTTTAGTTGTAAGTTGGTTACAAATTTGTGTATTATGTGGTCTCTAAATTACTTCTCTTTCTATGTTTAGTTTTGTGATCTCTTACTATAAACCTGTTCTGTTTCATAAGTAACATTTCTTTTTAAAATAATTACCCTCTATTGCGCACGAGGTGTTCAGATTGAAACATCAAGCAAACGAGCAAGCAGTACAAATGATGATAAGTGATTATCGCGCGTCATGAATTTTGAGAACTTTGTTGACATCTACATTGTATAAAACAAAGTCGTCCCGTTGTCTGTCCCTATGTATGCTTAGATCTTTAAAAGTACGCCACGGATCTTGATGCGGTGTTTTTACTAGATAGAGTGATTTAATAGGAAGGTTTATATGTATAATACATTGCACCCGAAGCCGGGGCCGGTCGCTAGTATAAGATATTATGCTATCTTGTATTATGTTAAATTGTTTGTTTATAAGTTTAGTTTTTGAAACTCCTTGTCACACCGGTCCGCGAATTATACTTCAGACTACTCATTCCTCAAAGTAGACATGCGTAGCAGAAAATATTAGAGCATTCTCCTTTTTTTTTATTTGTATTGCCTGACTTAACTTACCATAAAATTTACTGTATACGCAGTAATAAAGACAGTATATTGGTGATGTATTCTTAAAAAAGAACTTCTAACAGATCAGACAATGTCAAAAGGCAAGAAGTTTGCCAATCGCTATTATTTAAGCCATTTTCAAAAACTTCAATAGATAAATAATTATTTTAAACGCAATCTAGTACATAATAAAGTACAGCGAAACGTCAAGCATAAGTATATGTATTGAAGGCGCCAAAGTAATGATTCAATTACGTCAAAAATTATCATAGTAATTAAATATGGCGCCCATCGGCTGTCAAAAAGCGCGCGCTTCCTGCATTCTTCCCGCCCTCGTCGGGTGACTATTTTTTTTATTCTTTTCACGAATCGGAGCATACAGAATCCAGTCATCTTGTTCTATATAGCCGTAGCTGGCTAGGTCGTGGTATTATAAAAACGGAATGGGACGAGATGAGGGCAATCAGTAGCTTTCGAGACATCTCGCACGATGAGAGTACTGGTCAGTCGCTGTCACTTGTGTTCTTTTGTTTCAGTGTTATTAGTGTAAAAAGCGATCAATATCAATTGTGAACGGTAGATTATTATATCGGATAATATAATTTAAAAAAATAAAAAAAAGTTATATCCCTTACGTATTGTCCAATACGTAATATATATATTTAATATTTATTTCGATAATAATTCAATCTAGACAAAAAACTAAAACTGAAAGTGCTTTTAGACTAAAACTGAAAAGGCTCGTTTTTGTTTGAATAAAGTTTTTCGGATTCGTTTGAATTTTGGGTCATGATGTTATATCATAAATATAAGTACGGATTAAAACATTTATTTTTCTTATCACAAACATCTATTTGATATTTATTATGATCAACATATTTTACTAAATATGATATAGATGAATGATACAAATTTGCTGTGAATATTTAATTTGTTGTGAATATTTTTAATAGAATGGAAATTATTTAACGTTTTATAGCTATTCCGTTTTCCCTGATATAATGATATAGTTGTAAAACTTTACTTTTACCGATGTTTTTCTTTCAGTCTTTGACTATTAAAGCTGATGACTATGGGCTTTACCCATGAGCTTGATACGGCCCCTCCACGTCTGGTAGGGCCACGCGTGTGCTCCTGCATGAGTCACCTCCGAGCCCTCTAGGTTCGGTACGGGCCGTGACCCCGACGGCCGTTGACTATATTAATCATTGAGCGTGGAGGGTGAAATTCGGGTGTGTACGCGTTGTGTCAAGTCTCGCCGTGCTCTTAGGCGAGGACGGACTAATTGGTTATGTATTAGCAATATATATATTTATATAGCGATGACTAGCGAACTACCCGGTGGGTCCAACGTACCTATCCTTTTCTCAACCAGAATTTAAAAAGTTGTTTGAGTGCATTAAAGGATAGCATATACCTTCCATATTATAAAATTTGATTTAATAATAATTGGTATTAAAATGAGATGAAACATGTAAGGCTATGTAGTAAAATTCAAAGCTTTCTACAGATTGTTAAACAGTACTAAATCAAAAACAAAAATCTATTGTAGTTTATAAAAGTGTAGCATTTCGCGAGCACTTTGCGAAACAGAATTCCTACGTAGGATGAAGTAACATTTCAAGTGACTTTTAATTACGTACATTAATTTAAATACGAGACAACACTTGCAGTTCACCTTCAAACGCTTATCGTATTCCGGACATTACAATTGTTAATACTCGACTCAGAGAAGCTTATCGCACTCTGCCAACGACCGTTCGCCGATAATGAAAACGAAGGGACGTTTTTCTTTCAGGTTTTCTACGCCGCCGCCCTGGCTTGTGCCGCCGCCGCGCCTTGCGGCACCTTCATCGCGCACAGCCCAGTTCCCTTAGTCGCCATCCCGCCGGGAGACGTGCAGGCGGCAGCGATCGATGCGAAGGTCGACGTAGAAGACCGCCTCCGCGCCGTTTCCGACCAGGCGAGGGAGTTAGCTGAGCAGGCGAACGAGAATAAGGACGAGGGCGTCAACGAAGCGAATGACCTGGCGAAGGAGAAGGCTGAAGAAGCGTTCTGGGCGGCCGAGGAGCAGAAGTGGCAGGCGTTGGACGCCCAGAAAACTGCAGAGGCACTCGCTGACGCGTCCATCGCGAGCTCTGCGCCAGCCGTCACGAAAGCTGCCAACGCTTACCCAGCCGCTATTTTTGCGCCATTAATTGTTGATAGCAGCGCTGCCGAAGTTGTTTCTGAAGCGAAAGTCGCAGCACCTTGCGGAAAAGCGAAATCCGAAACGGAAACTTCTGAAAGCGAAGCGCCGGCCGCGGTCAAAGCGGCGGAAGTCGAGAGCAAGCCGGCCGAAAGTGCCGATAAGCCCGCGGAGGACGTTGAATCAGACACTGTGCAAGTGGAATCCGCTGCAGAGGTCAAAACAGAAGATGTAAAGAAAGAAGAGGGCGCAGGGTTCGTTGCTCTGTCTCAAATCCACCCGGCGCCTGCGTTATCCGCTTCTTTAACGGCTCAGCCTTGGCTGAATCCCAGCATCGCACCTATTACGTACGTTCCCGGGCTAAGATCCTATGTTTCCCCCTTCGTTACAAACTACAACGGCCAGCTTTTAAATCCCGTCTACTTCAGAGCTCCATGGTAAGACGCATATCAGTTACATTGAAGCAATAAGTCGTGAACGGCTCGTCATTGAACGAAAGGAAATTCCAAAAATGTCTTCAATTTCCTGCATTAAACTATTGATATATATAAATTACGACGAGTTTAATTTCAAGTTGATATCTATTTAATTCTGTATCATTTAATTTGAAAGAATAATTTTAGTCCAATAAATGTAATTAGCCATAGGTAAATAAAATAATAAACGTAATAATCCATGTTCACAATCGTGTACAATTTGTTTATTGTGATTAGTGGAATTTAATAGTTAGTGCTAAACATATCGTCTCTGCAATGTATTGATTTTAAAACCTTCCTTTATAAATGTACTAGCTAATACAATTGTAATCTTACAAGCTGGACTAGTAGGTCCTGAAATAACATTTGATAGAGACAGCTAAGTACTATCTGAGTTAAGCCAAGCTTATGAAGTCTCGAAGATGCGTCAGTGGTAGGTAATATCCAATCGTGCTGTACTTAATAATATTGGCACGGATTAGTGATTTTTCGTTTTATAGAAAATAAAGAGGGCTCGTATAGAGTTATTATAAGGTTATGGTTATAGTATAAGATAAGATAAATTTAGCCTTTTCTTGAACTTAATATCTGCATTGATATATGCTACTAACTGTGACAAATATCCATTCCAATATAATAATAAGTAATCGATACAGCTCAACCCGTCACTACATATACATAAACCACCTGGTTTGTGTTGTGTGCTTTATTTCCTGACAACGTTGTCAAAGGCTAGCGATGCAAGTCTATTAGCGAATATACATCGGCGATACTACCAGGCTCTGTTGTGGACTCGAACTTGCTTTTGTTACGAAATACACTAGATCTTAGTGAAACATGATTTCCATATGAAAACTGTCTCCCCACGCGTATACATTACCACAAGCTACTGGGAAAGGTATCAAGTGTTACTTGCATACTTATACGCGGATATCGAAATTATTAAAAGTAATCAATGTTTCACGACAATCATATCACGTGCCTCGCGCAACATTCGCAAACGATTCTCAATCATCGCTTTTAGAAAAATGCTTGCAGTGTCCCAAGTTACTAAAACAACATACAAATTTTCTCATATATTGTAAATTACTGTGTAATTGTTTCTCTATTTCTCGTTAGTAACAAATGTTTCAAAGTATTACTCAACTGCTTGATCACTTCGAAGCAGATTTTGAGAGCACTTTAAGCTAGATTCGGACTCCGTAGAATAATAACAAAGTATAAGCATAGGTCACATCGATTTGATATAGATACTGTGGAAAAACGCCGAATATTATACGGCCTCCATCCCTTGTGTGCTTCATAAGTACACAAACAGTGGTAGTAGTGACTTACTTGAACAATTGTACTTAAAAGTATAAACACGCTCAGATCGCATTCCTCGTTTATTTAGTATATCGACCACTACCAGATTGACAGGAAAACGCCATTATAAGGAAGTGTAAACTGCACAATAACAGGTTACGTTGTCGACAAGAAATGTTTAAGGCCCAAGAACTTTTAAGTTATGTTAAAATCATTTCTTTCAAATTTTATTATTAGTTTTGCATAGCGAATTTATGAAAGGCCCTAAGATATTTCGATGTAACATTTTGTTGATATTATTTATGTAAGCTGAAATGGTGTACCTATCAGTTGTAATGTAATAGAAACAGAGAAGTAAGGTTGAAATTACATTCACGATTCTAAAATACCTTAGAATGCAATGATGAACCACGCCGATGAATCCGCGGGTAAAAACTAGGGAAGTAACTGATAATGCGAAAGAAAGGGAAAAATATAAGGGATAGTGACCACTCAGCCCTAATGTCGATAATGAGTTGAGGCCGCCCTGGCCTAGCAATATATCCTTGTTAGCCTACCAATCCGTAGATTAAATACTCCGTACCAAAAACTGGCAGTTGCTAAGTGCTACCGTAGACGAGACGAGAGGAAAAGACTTATCTATATCATCGTGACAATACTTAAAATTTACCCCTTATTTATGATGTATAAAATCATCGCATAAAATGTTATACTCGTTGTTGAAATCGGATATAATAAGATCACAGCATGACGTTAAAAATATAACAAAGTATAAGTCAGATGACCAGATTTTTTACTATCTGCGAAATACTTTTATGACTCAGTTCTAGCTGTCCTATTTCAGGAACTTCCAAAAGGAAGAGAATTTAATAAAGCATAATATTTGAATAGTATCTTCAATTCCATAATCACACAATTATAGTAAATCGGTGGTTATTATGTAACCCTAAAGTAAGACGTCCTCTTATTGTTTTTTGTTTGGTTCAAAAATTGAATGATACATTTTAATACAATTTTATGAACAAAAATAATATTAAGGTACACAAATATATTCACACTCCGAAATAGAGAACACAGCATGAATGAAGAAGACGTAATTTAACATTACGCCATAATATAAAAATAAAAATATCATAGATAAAGGAGAAAGATCATATTTAAAAAAGAAAGGAATAAAAAAGTAAACAAAATAATCAGAGTTAAAATTAAAAAAACACAGACATTAAAATAAGATACTTAATAGCTTAATCTGCTTTTAGCAGAGGCTAAAGAACAGTATTCAAGCCTGTCATTACATGATAAGATCATTCTATAGAGGGGTGAATGCTGCACAACGTTTGTGTGATAATAAAGTGACTTTATAAATTGATAAATAATTCCATATTTCATAAAATTTTCCATCTAGTTACGAGAACAGTAACATATTTGTAAACTTGTTCGATCGCGCATAATTATAATACCGCTTGAGATTGTCTTGAATCATATCAAACTAAAAAGGTAAACGCAGGACGTTTGGACTAGTATTTATTATAATAATGCCATTACACATTCTTAGAATTCTGTAAACTCGTATTTACATATTGCTATGTGTTTTAAATGTCAATTGTGGACACAATGAGCTCTTTTAATTATCGTTCAAAAAAACATTACAAAGCTATTTGTGGCGGTCCGTGGATTCCAATACAATTTAAGACAGTAAATGCAACAAAATGCTTGTCGCTGTTGCAAGAGTTCAGTCCAATAAAAATTGTTTAATAAAATCATAAAAATAACTTGTACCGAACATATAGAAATCAGCGTAATATCTTCATCTCACAGTAAAGATCTTTACAAAAAGCTAATAAAGTTATCTATAAACGTAAGTTTTACGCTTGATATGCATTGAACTTCTCTAGGTCTCGATGTTGAAATTTTTTTGTTATGAAAAAATGTTAGATGCAATATTGCTTCATATCTCTATCTTCAAATTTCTTCTGTCTTAAGTCCACTTTTCCAAAAGTTTTCCCTCACTTCTATATAACTTACACTTCCTAAAAGATACAGAACCAACGCACGAGTTTCGTAAATACTTTACATCAGGGCTTCTAACACCTTAGTCCGCTCCGTAACCACAATTGCTGCCAAGTATTTGAAACGATCATTTTTTTTATTTCAACCAATATTAAATCGAAAATGAAAAAGGAATAATTCCTTATATATTTTTTGTCTATAACTTAAAAATACAATGGAACAATATTTAAGTGAGCTTATTTTCTCAGTTAGCAACAATAATCCGCACTTAATACTATTGCGGGACTCGCACTAAGGTCACCAGCATACGATATGCGTCAGTCATAGTCATTGGAAAAGTTATCACAGAATTAAAGGTCAAATCAACGCAAGGGGAATGCCCAGCCTCGTCCTACAGCATTACACGTAACAATAAACGTATAACTTTCCATTTTCAAGCTGCCCGTTGCATATTCTCATCACGGCTCGCGTAAGCAAAACGGGGTGACCAGGGCGGTGGAGTGAAGCAAGCGCGCATGACTCGAATCTTGCCTTTGTCCGTTATGAAGTTTCTTAAGCATATGGAATTGGAATCCGTTATCAAAACGATAGAGACGAATGATCTGGTCTAAAGTTTATGTTTGACTTATCTCCTTATGGAGAATGAACGTAATTAAATCTCACTCTTTGACGACCCGATTGGCTTAATGAATAGTATACCTGTCTCTTACACCAGAGGGTGTGGGTTCGAACTCCACTATTTGATGGACATTATGTGATCAATATAGTGTTCTTCTAGTATCTAAGTGTTTGTATATTTATAATATGTATTTTATTACAAAAGAAAAGTAATTTAAGTATGTTTATCAGTTACTTAGTATCCACAATAGGTATAAGCTCTGCTTAGTTTGGGACTAGATATCATTGTGTGAAAATATATGCCGAAATATTTATTATTTATTATGTATATTCACTTTATGGAATATCCATTGAACAGTTGGGACAAACTCTATTTTATTATATATTTTTAACAAGCTTCATTAACATGGCAGATAAGATGTATATAGTTAGTATATAGTTACAGTTTACCACGAGCACAATTTTGGATGAGAGAAATAATTGTTTGAAATTGAATATGTCAATAACGTGGATAAGATAGTGTTATTGATCTAAGTTTATAATAAATCTGATAGAGTCTTAATCCGAAAATACATAACTGCCAAACGTAGCAAGTGAAAAATCATACATGCACACGTAATCAGATAGTAGAGTGCTAAATGACCAACTGTTAAACGTCAGAATGACTTAACAACAGGTGATTCTTTAGATAAGCAACGGTATGATAAGCGAGGCGTGGCCTGTGTTGAAAACATCAGTTCAGTTGCATTGATCGAATACTTAATTACACGAACGGGCGATAACTAACGGTTAACAATGTTATGTATCAGTGCTCCGAAGCTTTTTGTTACAACGACATATAACTTGTAATAACAGCCCTATATTCTTACGCATTAAGTCGAATGATAGAGATATTTTTTTTGCTTGTTTAGGAATTTCTTCGTTTATTAGAAAAAGTATATAAATAAATTACTCTTTACATGTATGACGTATTTATAAAAATAACATGTAGGCCATTCACACTTAGGTCACAGAAAGAAATGAAGTTGG